CAGGGAGGAATATTAACCGGACGATAGGCGAACCAATTTTACTCTTATTAATTTTACGTATGTCACGGAGTAAGAATGTCGAGTATGAATTTCCAATGATTTCTCAATCTCTTGTCATACTGTATATGCAAAATGTATCTGATTATAAAACTACATTCGTATTTTGTTATCTCTTTTACAGGAAAATAGATAAATATGCATAAAATCAGTAAGAAATTTCTAGGACACATAATGAGAAAAGAAGAAATAGATACTCACAGGACATATGCAAGCAAGAGTGACTGGAAAAAGCTGTGATTAAGCTATCTAACGAGCTTGTGTAAAGTATAAGGAGGAATGATAAAAAAGATAAACGTGCACTTTCCCTTCATGGCGTGAGACAACAAGGCTCCCCACATCTCTTTTTGCTACCTCTCCTAAACACTGTTCTGTCAACCATCTATATAAACACGTTAAATAGGTTATTCTCTGTATCCTCCTGGCTTTGTTGACTTCAATATGTCCCTTATGCCTCATTATGTCCCTTAGCAATTTCAACTCTCTTTTTGATTCGAACAAAAAGTGTTCATTTCAATTTTCCTGAAAACTTCATCATTACTCACACGTCCAATCCATGGTATTCTCAGCATCTTCCTATAAAACCTGTTGGCTCAAGCCTCTTCATCATGTGATTATGGTACATTCAATGCCATATAGGAGGACCGATATTACATACAAGTTCAGTACTCCTTTCTTTGCTTTTTTTTCTTGTTTCTTATACATAGCTTATCATTTGGAAGACACCTTGTATTATTCCCATTCGCATTCGGAAATTTTGTGATGCCACATTTCCCGCCCCCTGTTAAAGCAATCCTTTCTTGACATTGGTGCTTCCATTTCATAGTTTGCATCCTCGGCTGTTTCTTTTGCTGAGGGAATAAATCTAAATTGAAAATCGATGTTTTTGCGAAAACATCTAATATATATTTACTGTGCCTCTCACATGTATTCACTATCGTGGTAATAAGCTACCACAATAGAGAGATTTCTCTGAGCATAACAGTTAATATTTAATCTTTATTCCGTCGTAAATAGATAGATAGATAGATAGATAGATAGATAGATAGATAGATAGATAGATAGATCAACATCCTCTATCAAGTCTTCTGAGAAATTAATACAAACCTTTCCAAAACAAACTATTATCTGGTATTCGAATGAAAACTGTGATGCCATCTACCCTGAACCCATCATAATGATATGGATATGGAATTTGTAAATACTAAGAACTTAAAATAAGTGATAAAGAGATTGAACCCAGAATAGCCTGCGTTAGAAGTATTTTCTAATATTGCGACAAAACCACAAAATTAACCGAAAAACACCTCATCAGATCGAGACGTTCATATGGATGTAAGGTATGGTGACAAACTCCTTCAGACTCATCTAAACTATTAACTGTATACAACCGGTTTCTCAGATTGCTGTTTAAAAATGCCTTCTAGTGAATGAATCCTTTAGCTCTCAGTAAGACCATATAGACCTCAGATTTATCACCATAGCAAAAGCAGAATTTAAGAGGGGACGGGAGTCTCTTGAAGATCTCTCAAGGTCTTTCAGATGTCACCACCGCGAAAAACATTGATCGTGATCATCACGTGTTAATGGATGGCAGGCAATTGACTATATATGCTATTATCATATCCTGAGATAGTATTCTTCACAAGGAACTTGGCATGACGAAAGTTTCTGCTCGGTGGCGTCTACGTCTTCTGACAGTTGATCAATGGCGCACAGGCTGATCACATCGCAATAAAATATGACATTGTTTGAGGCAGTTTCCTTGAACGTTTCCTAACCTGAGATAGGTTCATCGCTTTGTGCCAGGGATAAAAAGGCATCCATACAGTGGAAACACCCCTTCTTACCTGCTCCAAAGAATGTCATGCTAGTTTCATCTACAGGAAAGTTGATGGCCTCAGTTTTTTGGGATGCAAAAAGGTCACATCAAAAATTAAGTACTATGCCAAATTGCTGAGGAAGTTACGAAAGACTTTCAAGACCAAACGCCAAGGAAAATTGACAAAATGGCTCTTGTTTAATAAGGATAATTCTCCAGCACAGAAGTCCTTGGTTTCAAAGACTTGGCAGTGATAATGACGTCATATGTGCTGTTGCTAACTTTTTGACAAGCAAAATGAACACACTTCTTTACCTGGAAATAAAGAATCCAGTTATTGAGTTCAAATTAGTGCATGAAAGGTTGACATCCCTAGCATCACTCTTTCAGCTTATGAAGTTTTTAGCCCACTCTCATACAACTTGTATTAGTTAATTATTATTATCTACAACATATTCTTACAATAAAGCATACATTTTCTTGCTTCAAATGAACTTCATAAGGTAGGTAACTCATAAAAAGCAGCAATCAGTATATACATATATATATATATATATATATATATATATAAGACGAAAATAGATAATTTCATAAAATAGTCTGATTTTTTCTAGAACTTCAGAGTTTATGTCTCATTTGTTTTTTAATCATTTCACCCAAAGCAAGGCAATAATGCCATTAAGACGCACGCGGTTACTGATTTATAGAATATGAGAAACATATACTATTAAGGAGACTAGACATTAAAAGAACAAGAATTAAGAAAAGCAAAGATAGCTTTAGACATTACTTAGAAAAGAGTTTCACAGGTGAGAAGATCGATAGAAGAAACTGTTCGCCTAGCCAACAGTAAGATCCATGATGTTTATGATTTTATGTTTATGTTTTTATGTCTTATCAGCGCTAATGCAACAGTTGCATAGAGCTTACTGAAATGGTATATTTATTATTAATGTTTTTGATACACAACCGCTGTTGTTTTTTGTTAAATTTTGCTGATGTTTTTTCTTTACTTTTATAATCATATTGATCGATTTCGGTTTTGTATTCGGAAATTTCTTTCACCCAAAATATAATGACAGTCAATTATAATTTGTATACTGAAGTCCATGCTGTATGAGTCTAAAGTTGCTGCATTCCGGGAAATTTATGCCGGAAGTGAAGATAGAAAGAAGGTAGAAAGTGTCAGACTTGATATCAGCAATGGAAGGAATGAAATAGCAGGCATAGTTTCAAGGTGTTATGAGGGACGCAAGTGCTGGACTTGGTCTAGTCAAGGAGGGGGGATCCTTGTCAGAGTCCAGTGAACAAGAGCAACGTAAGTTACAGGAACAGCGTGTTCAGAAGCTCGACGAGGAGAGACGATTGGTGCAGTCTGTCCAGCAGGCTCAGAAGGATCGATGGCTCAACTGGGAGAGTGTTGATGATGTTCAGATCAGTTGGTTTGAATGGTTTCGTCTCAGCTCAGAACATTTAAAGGTCTTTATTCAGTCAGCATTCGATGTTGCGGTATCAACTGCAAATTTGAGGAAATGTGGAATGCATGAGTCACCGTCCTCCCGGTTGTGTGGTGCATACGGAAAACTGCGCTATATGCAACGTAACATGATCCTGCTGTCGTCGGCCCACCGTGTGGAGTGGTTAATTTTTTGAAGAGCTCAGCTGAAGGTTGCAGCTGGTCTGAAGCACTTGATGTGTATATGTATTTTTATTACTTAGCATCCTCCGTACTTTATCTTAAGTTTAACAGTTAGCCTGAAGTATATATATGAGAGTTCTTAAATTTTTAAAATTTGAAAACTTAAAGATACTTTTACTTCTACTGATAAATATTTGTTACAAAATAGAATACTTACATTCGATTCATAGGAAGAAACCCGTCGGCAGAGAAAAACTTTATTTTTCTCTTTATTCATATTGTATTTTTACAGATATATCTTTATTACAATATGAAGGTTTGCACAAAGACACGCAACATTACATATATATATATATATATATATATATATATATATATATATATATATATATATATATATATATATATATATATATATATAAACATACATATACGCATATATATATATATATATATATATATATATATATATATATATATTATATCTATATATATATATATATATATATAAATATGTGTGTAGTTTCATTTATTAACTGTTGTTTCTCTCTCTGTGTGTGTGTGTGTGTGTGTGTGTGTGTGTGTGTGTGTGTGTGTGTGTGTGTGCTTGCGTGTGTAGAATATCTAAAATCTCAATCATATGTTTTAATGGTGAAAAAATTATTATAATCTTCATTTAATACTTTGTAGAATAGCCATTATTCACTAATATTGCAACGTCTGTGTGCGTACCTTTTTGACTCTTTCTTCTTGTATCATTTTCATTCTCCGGTATTTGCATTTTTCTTCATTTTTTTTTTCTAATCATCTCAAGATACATTCGCCTTTATTATTACTTTAACCATTTCTGTCTGTTTTTCTTTGTCTCCATTAAATTGTTGTTGACGATGGATTTTTATGTCACCTTCGTTTATCTTTTTATGTTTAACGCCTACCAATTTCTTCTCCTTTTGAATTTCATTTTCCTAATTTTTCGTTCAACGCCCCCTTCTTTAATTCTTTTTCGGTGAAATCTCAACAAGTCAAAACTATGAATATCCAATTATCTTAAAATAAAACAGAAGTCAAAAGAAAACTCGAATAGAGTTGAAAAAATACCAAAAGCGGAACGAGAAACAAGGAAACATTAATATAAAATGTGAAAGAATGAAGTTCAAAAAGGGAATTATTCTTTACGTTTTTTTATTGTTTAGTTTTGTTTTTGTTTATTTTGCATTACGCCATAACTCTTGGAATAAAAAAGAATATAATCTTAATAAAAAAACGATTTAAAGAAGAACGATCCTTATTACAATATTTTTCATCTTTCTTAAAAACAATGCAGCAATAACAGTGATATTCGCCCAGACATGTTTACTTTTTCAGCTGTAATAGAATCTCTTATTTAATGGTAAGCCCACATGTACGGTATAGTCAAAGTATACGAAATTATGTTTATTTGAGAGCATCAATCTGAAATTGTTTAAGATAACTCGGATCTTACAATTTCAGCAGGATATTCCAGTCGATAATGTTTTCTACTATGATCTTGCAAAACCTGAAAGAGCACATGGCACGTGTGAAATTCTCGGTCTGATTTTCTATAATATTCTCAAGCATTTCACCCAAAGCAAGGCGGGAGTGCCAGTAGCACGCAGAGAATTACAGTGAACGAAAAAAAAAGAGAAAAAAAATTGGGGGTATAAGAGAGATTGCGGAAAGGATAAAAAGAACGGGTGACAAGGCATCAGAAGATAACGATTGATGTTGCATTTACATTTTTAAAGATTGTAGTTATCAGAAAAGCAAGTAAGAGGGAGGGAGTTCCACCGTCGGGAAGTGCGAAAAAAGAAGCTGTTGGAGTAGTAGTGGCGGTTATATTTAAGTGTTTCAAGAGTAAAAGGGTGGAATATTAATACGAATCTAGTAGCACGCTTAAAGTCATGTATTCAGGGCACCAGGGAAAATATTTCGTCAGAGCAGATTCCATGAAAATATAGATAGACTGTGTGTTCTACCTTCTTTTAGTTGGGGGACTGATAACGATCCTCTGGCTACTTCGGTTACGCAGGTGCGTGCAGTTGAGCTCGTAAAAAATTAGACCATTTCAACGGATTGGCGTACAAAGACAATGATGTCACTCCAAAATTCTGTATCATCAGCAATGTACATTTAAAACATCTAGAAGTTCACACATATTTTATGAAACACATGTAATACATGTATTGATGTGTTCATATTATGAGTCTGGCCTTAATTACATTAGATATTTTCTAAGATGTAAATTTGGAAATCATTTCATTGCAGTTTTATAAAAATAATGAGAAAGGTAAAAGTAATTTTTTATCCACAAGAAGAAAAGTCTAATTTTGCTTTGTTTATTTCATTATTGGTCGGATGCTTACAAAACAGGTTGAACGATGTTCAACAACGCTAATCACATACTTGCTAAACATGGAAATAACTAACTACTCATTAAAAAAAAACAAAGAGAGATTTCTTCTATTTATCTGTTCTACAATAAAATTTGGCTAACTATCAATTTCACAGCAAAAAGAAAATAAATAGTAAAATGGTAATTGTAACTCGTATTACAAAATCCTGTCTATCTTTCTGAAATCTTGTGTTGTCATTACACGATTATAATGAGTATTAAAGTTTGGGTTAACCAAAAGTATAAAAAAAACTAACACAGTCATCTTTAACTCAATGCTAAAGCCAAAATCAAGAGTGTTCTGCAGCAATTTTTAATTCTAGTGCTAATATCAACGGATTTGAACAATGATTTTTATTATTTTCGCTCGTTTTAGCCACAAATGCTAATACAAAGTAATGTTTCATACAATTCAGTATATATGTATATTCTCATAATTCTTGACACAAGTGAAAGAAAAATCATAATATAATATGTAATAGCTATATATGTTATCGTAATATAATAATGTAAGAATATGTAATGTAATCGGTTCTGACTTAACATCTCGACTTCAGTCCCCTCCTTGGCGTCTCGACTGCATAAATTAAACGTCTTACTATATTAGCAACTTGGTCTCACGGTTTTACTGTTTAACTAGTTAGATACTCAATTGTAATAATTTCGTTTCTCGAACTTTTCACCTGTAAAAATCCCTTCCGATTTCTAGCTGACCTACCACTTAAATCTTAAAAAAAAACTTAAATATGGCACTAATTGCCATCTTCTGTCTTTCTGAAATTTGTTCTTTTATTGTCCTTTCTTCTCCTCAATGATGTCTTCTCATTTCTCACCCACTAACCGAGTAGAGTAAAATTATTAAAAATGGAGCTAAGTACTTGTTAATAATTGTAGACGCTACAATTCGAAGCAGCAGAACTTACCAGTTTTCTTAATACTTAATATGATATGTTAAATGAATAGTGAACCATTAAGAGGAGTCATAAAATCAATGATATACATAGAACAATTGCTGACAAATCTTTTACAATTTTCTTCACCTAGCAATTTAAAAATTGTCAACAGTTATGTAATACGGCCAGTCTTATCAGAGAGCAGTCCTAGTGTTGGGCGAAATATCTGATCTTCAAACAAAAGAGAAGTTACTCCAAATTCACAGATCTCTGCATAATCTATGTTTGTTTTTTATTGTTGCAGTAAACTCCAATATTCAAACAATTTATTTTTTGTATCCCTAGAAAGTATTTATAACTTGTCTTGTAGTTTACCGTGTCTTTCAGTGCAATGTCGATATATACCCATACTTACACACTAATTCTAAAAAAGCATAGTTATACGAAATGATTATCAGTAGAGGGCAGTCTTGTAGAATTTACCAGCTGTAGTATTTGTTCTATAGAGGATACAGAGTAGCAAAAAATGGTATTACGAAAAAAACTTACCGAGGTGAAGGATATAATGGAAACAATTAGAACAGAGGAATTCCTAGTTATTCTTATATTCTGTATATATGTACTACAGAAGGCTTTCAAGTTATTTGAATATATACAAAAAGTAGTCTAGATTTGGTATTGGCGTCTCATCTGCTTTAACTTTTGACAAAGATTTTAAATGAATATGTATCTCTATTCAGTGAGAAAGAAAATAAAGTGACCGTATTCGTGTGATAATAATACATTAAAGGAAAAAGCACGGAGAATTTAAAAGAAAAAGACACTATGACGAGATTGCAAACGAAGAAATATTTTCATTCCGAGTGAGATTTATTGCAAAATCTTACTTAGAAACTTTAGATTCTCTTTTAAATACCACAGGTAAAATAGATGAGATTTAAAAATTGAGATTCCAAATTTAGTGCATAAGACCAAAAACATTTAACAATGTACATAATGTGAACTAATTCGGAATTTTGCCAAACACTTACTCAGATATCTTATAATAAGGAGCTATATCAGTAAGACAAGTTCTAGTGTCGAGTAATTTACTATCATCATGAGGATAGTCAATTTCTAATACGCTAATTATATTAACCTATCCATACTATACCAATTATCACTAACAAGCAGAACACTTCTTGAGCCGACTCAAGCGCATAAATTCGTGCTTTCATTCTACGATGAAGAACGGTTCCGTATCGCTGCCTATTGACATTGTTTTCAGCTGCTCATAATGAACTTAATAGATCATTTTGTAAAATTGAAGCCGAAACGAAAGAGTAAGTCGCTTCATACAATTTTCATATTGCTTTATTTTATTTTCATTTTATGATACAAATCTAAAATAAGCAATGAACGTTTTTAGCAAACTTTGAATTTCAAATTCACTAGTGATTTATGAACCTACTGCAAAAAGTCTGTTGATTTAAACACAACATCAAAATTTTGAATGAATGGATTTAAAAGAATTTCGTAATTTCTCTAATTATGGGATTTGATTACATCCCTAATGAGAATCCAAAAATTGCATAATTCTTTTTGTCTCAGATTTTGTCATTAGAATATTATTAAGATTTAAATAAAAAATCTCAATGTACATATGACACACAGTCTTATATACCGGATACATGAATCACTATCAAATATTTGGTATATGTCGGAAGGTTTTATTAAAAGCTTGCATAAACTTACAGATGAAACCTTGTAATAAATACATGCAACAAGGGTAACCAATACGTAAAGACGGTCTCCGATCTAGAGTGCTATGGTTTTTCGCTTTTGTTGCCTCATCTTTCAAAATTACAATAAAAAAAACCCGACTCGACACAAGACCATTACGCTCCTACGCAAATCCTGTCGATTAGCAGATATTCTCAGTGTCTCATCAACTGGGTATCAGGCCCAATTGGTTGATTTTAGCTATCTGGTAAGTAAATGTGTTACGGAACAGGATATTTACTTAATACGCCAATAAAAAACATGTACATGTTAACATCTGCAATCAGTTAAGGTGAGAAAATTAAAGAGACACGCTTGGTGTAGCATCAAGACTTGTATTTTTTCTTTGATTTATGTCATATGCACATTTCCTTCCTGGTTCTAGCCAGAGACCTAAGGTCGGAAATGGCTTCATGAGATTTTCCAATAATAATTTTTATAAAAACAACACAAAAACTAAGATCACGCATTTTACATAGATCAAGCGTGATGTGTGAGTTGTACATACGAGTACAATTTTTGTATTTGTTTAAGACATGGGCTATCAGGAATCCCTTCAATGATTTCATCGGATATTTTTCCAATCAATCCGTGGGATCCAACAACTAAATAATAATAATAATAATTATTATTATTATTATTATTATTATTATTATTATTATTATTATTCAATCGTCTCATTGTCTGTTGAAGCACACCATGCAAACCGGTGATAAATTGTTTACATTATTTTGAGATTTATGGAGTCGTCACACTTAACTAGCATTTTTTCTTAAATATGTTGTTTTGTATTTTTTCCACAACCAGGAAATGTCTGATTTTCATGTAAGTTTTATTTGTGCTTATTAAGAAATCCTGTTGTAATGTCTATATATTTCATACACGTAGCAACGAAGTTTGAACCTTACAAAATTAACGTTCTCACTTGTAATCTCATTGCCACCTAAGAGAAATTATATTATTAAAAATCTAATAACTTTAGAGCATGTCTCTGCAGATTTAACTCTTTTCTATTTTATGCAAATAACGTTTTTTGTACATATTTACTTTGACTAACCGTCGAAGACAAATACTGCCGTCGCTATCAAGACACGATGAATAAATAAATTCAGTCTCTATCTTCAGATTTACAATTAGTCTCGTGATTAGGCTTAGTTTAATTCAAATAAGTACACTTCAGTTTGCTTCTTATGATTGCTTATTATTTTGACTTCGATGCTCAAATTAAAAGCCAATTCTAATTTTGTTTACAACTATTGCTTAAATTATTTTATATTTCATTTTATTTTTTAAATAAAATTCGTTCCTAACCAGCAAATATTAGGAAAAATATTTCAGTTTAACCTATTAACAAAACATTCTTTTAATTTCTTAAGGAACCTGTTTTCGTGTAACTTGGGTGGTTAATACTAACTTTTCCTCGTTTTATTGTGTCCATTATAAATTTAGATTATAACTTTTGTACAAACACACACGACTCATGGACATATCACTTTGAAACACCAATTCGCATACGATCATCGACGTTAAGCAAAGTCGAGACTGATGAATACCTAGATGAGTGAACCCTTGAGAATAACAGGTGCTGTAAGCATGAGTGTGCGGGTGGTGTAATTAATAACGACTCGCAATTGGAAATCATAACGTCGAGTTCCAGTTACAGTTGGGTTGATTATAGTCACTTACGCGCAAATACCATTGGAAAAGGTGTAAATCCACTTCTTCTCTCGACCATCAGCGATATGATAATTAGTAGGATAAACCATTATTATCTCCATAGAATACTTACAATGTAAAAATATTTTCTGTATTTACACACCCAAACACGCAGGGTGTTCGTAAAATAATTACGTTTATCTCACGCTAAAAATTATGATACAAAACAATCAATCCAAAAACAAATACAATAGTACGAAACTACATGTTTAATTTGTTTATCATGTGATCATCTGACAATGTATAATTTATAATACATTTATTATTTAATTAGAAAAACTTACAAAGAGGAATTTGGGGTTCTTCATACTTTTTTTGCTTGAGAATCGAACAGAATATTCCACCATACTCAGTCGGTTTTTTTTTAATCAGGAATGCCAACCATTATTCTTTTACTTTGGCATCGAATTGCTACAAGAGATGAAAAATGTGGGAAACTAGTGCCAACATCAACACCATGACTCTACAAACCTAATTGTGGTGCTTCTGGTGAAATATGAAAAAATATCATCGATTACGAGTGACTGGAACATGTAAGGACATCACAGCACATGTATATCGCCAGCAACTTGATAACGGATAATTATGTTCAAAGTATCTTAGATTGGTAAACAGAGAATGTGATATAATACAGCACGGCAAGGCAAGAGCATATTGCAAAATACCCCCATAAACAGACCCGAAACACACTTTCCCCACTGATAACATTTACTCTTTCTCGCTCTCTCTCTCTCACACACACACTATCCACACACACACACACACACACACATACACATACACGTGTGTGTGTGTGTGTGTGTGTGTGTGTGTGTGTGTGTGTGTGTGTGTGGAAAAGCGCTAGTAATTTGAAAATACCTAGAAAACAGAAAAACACTAATTTCCGATAGACTGAAGACATACCGATGACCAGACGAAGGGAAATGAAAGAAAAGGATATTTGCTTTTTTTAAAGGAAAAACTAGAAGACAGAAAAACACTAATTTTCGATAGACTCAGGATATACTGATTACCAGATCAAAGAAAATAGAAAATAGAAGAAGATAATTAAATTTCTCGTCTGCGGGTGTTATAACACAAAGAGACAATCTGGTTTTAGTTAGGACTGAGATTAAGTGATAACATGGTCCGAAGTGATCAACTGTGCGATCAGCCAAGGGGATCGAATTTGAATACGGAACGGCTGATGTAGACACCATGTACATATATATATATATATATATATATATATATATATATATATATATATATATATATATATATTAGAATAGAATGCTTTCATGTTCGCGTGTTGAAAACTGAACCTCCTGTACACAACATGCATTCAACACGAGACCCCTTGCAAGACTCCGACCTTAGGCCTCGCGCACTAGGCAACTAGAGAGGCATGTTCAGTACAATTTGGATTCGGAACCTGCATTGAACATGGCCTGGGTGGGGACACCGATGGCTTATACCATTGACTCTTGTGATGGTGCCTCCAAGAGACTGGCCACTAATTTCCGAGAGAAAAGTTAATATTAAGTTTTTTGACATTATCCTTATATAAAAAATAAAGGTGGAAAAGGTAACATTTTTCTTTTGCAGCATTGCCGACATTTTTGTCATCCTTTTCACTATCCCTGCTACTGTTAATATCGTTTTCGCTTTGGGAAAGCTTCTGGTTTCTTTTTTTTATATTTAACTAGTTTAAATGTTTAATCCTCCTAGATTGTATTATCGTATGCTGGCCTGCGTTGTCGTTTTTCGTTTTCTTGAGTGAGTTTATCTGTGTAAGACGGATGGGTTGGTAGTGAATACAGGTGTGATCATTATTTTGTTGGGGATTTTCTCATGGAAACTCTTTTAAGGGTGGTCATTTTGGTTGTTGTGAGAGTCAGTTATTTTGTTATGCGGAGTAGAGCCATGGTCTGCTTTTTGGGTGATGGGAAAGACAGTACCGAGGAAAAAGTGCTAATTTTTCAATGATTTTTCTTGCGACCTGTTTGTTTTTACGGATTCTATCAATTGCTCGAAACTTTCAAATTTCTCAAACTTGGCGCGTATTTGAGTTTTCGAACCTTTTCGGTGTAGTTCATTATAATTCTGTAGCGCCATTTCAAAGAAGGATGGTCTGCCTGATCACTCTTGAAAATGGGAGTGGGGTTGTTTTTGTATTTAGGAGTGGGATCTTTCGAGGTCCGAGGTTCCGCTGTCTTGAGCTTCCTTTTGATCTTACCAACGATTTGCCATCCCGCTTTTTCTTCTTTGCAACCACGCAAACCACGGGAAATGGGTGCTGTGAAATGGACCCAACCGGATGTTATACCGCACCGGCCCAAGTCGTTGGCATACACATTATAAGCGAAACGGAAATAACAGTCTCGGCCGAAGGGAGATTTGGGCTGGCGGGGATACAACACTCCAGAAGCCTTCATCTCTGAGCAGGAAAAGGAAAGGTAACAAGCCTCTCCACACTTCCAGCAGATTCGTTTATGGCAGGACACAATGACCAGAATTTTCTGGCCTTCTATATGCATACATTTGGGGATGGAGATGAAAGCTTTGCGATCTATCATTAAGTCAAAGCGCATCCCCTGTTCAGGTCGTCGGAGGGGGCACGGAGTATCTGTTTCAATTGAGCTACATAAACAACCAAGTACTCCCCTATATAAGAGGGATCTCGAATACCGAATTTGGGTCTTTCGCCAGCCCGTATATTCGGTTCTTAATATGAGATCGTTCGTTATTCCAGCTCGATGCTTTTATAGAGTCGGGAGGCAAGGACAACAGTGCGTCATACAATAAGTAATCCTTGCCTCTTATGATTCTTTTTGGTATTACCCCAGGAACATCAAAGATTTAATAATGGTGTCTTTTGTGGCGCGAAAGATCTACCAAGAGCTTCTCTTCTTTGATAAGATGTGCATAGCTCTTGGGTCTCCCGAGGAACTCCGTTACGTTGATGATACACTTCGGTGGGGGTGGTCCAGCATGAGGGCGAATCCCTGACCACCACAATGTCGTTGTTGTTATTGTTGGTCTCAGCTTTATTTGGGATACTTGTCGCTTCCACTCTTTTTTCTTAATGATCACTGTTGATTGAGTTTTAGCCTTTTTATCTGGGGTGGGGTTCTTTCTTCTTCGAGCCAAACAGCTATTTTTAATCGTCCGACAATTGTCGGACATTTCTTATTATAACTTTTTTCCATTAAAACAGAATTTTCTTTAAAAGAAAATATTAAAATTAAAATTCAGTTAGCTGCACGAAATCAAAGTGAAATTTTAATAATATAAAACATCATTCTTCGTAACACTCACTCAAATACACACTCATTCAGACACAAGAGAAAAATGCGAAAATTACATACGAAAGGAAAGACGCCAGCATCAAGGGGTCAATGAGCATACATCCCCTAGCTAAGCTAACCGGAAGGAAGAAACTAAGGACACTAAAACAACTCTAAACTAATCTAATTTCGAGTGGGGTTGCGAGAGTTCCGTACAGTTAGAGCAATATCCTATTGCCTAACCGGCATCAGAGTGCCACTCTAAGTTGGCCTCTCTTAGTCGACGCAATCGAGAAAGACTCCCGCACCTTTTACCAAATTCTGATGGCGGAGATCGCCGCCTTTCCGTAATAATTTTGATTTTAACTGATACTTAAAGTACAAGATCAGTGAACATCTCGCCCCCATAGAATCTGACGTGTGGTTCAAATAATGACTCTCATAACCCCGAGAACACTTAGTGTTCAGCCTTCGTCAACAACGGTACCACATTGCTACAGACGGAACTGGCCTCAAGGACAAAGAATTTTCCGTGCAGCACGCGAACCATGAGGCCTTCAACAAAGTTGAACAATGGCACTACGATCCTGCAATGAAAGAAGATGTGAACCAGGGTCTCGACATCCCCATCATAGCTAATGCAGTTTGGAGATTTCTCCAAGCCCGCTTGCCAATGTCTTTTGACGACCCAGTGGACCCTACGAATCACCAGCCAGATGAGTGATGCCGCATCGTTACTGACGCATTTCAACTCGGGCGTCCAAACCCATATTGAGCGTACCTTCTGCATCGTAAACTCGAGCTAGGCAATCTGTCATCTCGTACGAACCCTCAAACACATGATATAATGCGCTCCAAAACAAAACAATGCCTGGACGTTGGAGACGCCATCCAACGCCCGTAAGAGCAATGCGACATTCACCATAAACAGCACACCTCGGTGTAAACGGAAAGTGGGATGCTCCACGCACGAGTGCACACTTCTCAGGAATGCGTAGTTCTTACGGGAGTCTTCCTTCCATTCTACCTAGGAAAGCGATGCGAAGCCTATGTGGAAGAATCTCAACGCTATGCATACCAAGACCGCCTTCAAAAATGTTATGGGAACTTACCCATAATAATAATAGACTATTCCTGACATTATAAATACTGGGTCTCTCAAGAGGTATATGGGAAATTGTAAGACGAGAAGAGATAATTGAGAGCATATTGTAAGGACATTGGAATAGCGATACTTGTCAAGACAACATAGTTCACTCTAACCAAATCTGATAGTCATTAATAATACTTCTACTTCTTTGTATTGTATTTCTGTTGTAATATATCTTTGTATTCCATACCTGTGTTCGTGTAATTCTTTCATTGGTTCTAACCATGGACCATCACCGTGGTACAAGGAACTTGGACCATAACAAAAAGGCTGGAGGTAACAGATCTCTCTAGGTAAAATAGCGGCCTTGCTTCCCCACAAGAAGGAAAACAGGAGTTTTACTAATGACATTAATGTGGTATATGGAAGTAGAATCGCGGAAAGTCGGTAAAGGAGAATCGGATAGATATCCAAGGCACATACTTCCGCCCTCTCCTTTAAGAAAAAAATGCCCCGGAACCACAGACGAAATGCGACCTCGGATTTCTCTTGTACCTTCGAGCAATTCATTTCCAACAGAAAATTGGAACCGGACGAGACGCCGAATATTTTGACAGACCCCTCCGCCCAGAGGAAAGATCCAGGAAGAGAAACTCCCTCCCATGGACCCAACCGCAAGCAAGTAAGGAAAACTTATCGCGGTTGATCTTGGCCCCTGTCACAGTCTCGTATCATTTGATATCTTTGCTGACTTCGTCAGTCTCGGCTCTTCTCGAAACAAGCACCAAAACGTCGTCAGCATAGGCAGAATATCTGGCCAAAATGTGTAATGGGGGAAGGGTGGTCATCTTCCGTCAGCTACAATTTCTTCCATTTTCCAAAGTCCACACCATACGACTCTAGGCAATTTAGTGTCCAATCCCGGATTACTTCCGGTTCATCAGCAGTTCACGCTCTTCCATAAAAAAAAGGAAGGAAACACACCCACAATTTCTATCTGATTAGGAATATGGCGACGTGTTTGGCTTGAAGTGGTCAACTGGTTTATTTCTATGTCCCTTCGTGTGTTTCCTTTGAATATAACTGAATCTCTCTGACACGTAACTAATGATGATAGTAGTCATTGTATATAATCTACTATCTCGATATTGTTCTTAACCCTAGAACACTAACCATGGGTATATAGTACCCAGCGCTAATTTTCCTATTTTTAATTACAGTTTTCAGCACCTGATTTTCTTACCTAAATAATATGTTTTTTCACTTCCTATTCATGTTAACTCAAAGTACAAATTTTGAATTGCTAGCCTGTAAAATATTTCAAATAAAGGTTTATATTTAATTTTTTTTTTTTCGATATTTTCAAAATCGGGTATGATTATGGTTAACTATGGTTAGTAGTGTAACTTTAATTGATGGTTAATGTTCTAGGGTTAAAATATCACTCACATGCACGTCGAAAAAACGTATTGTTCGGAATTTTATTTAAAAAATGAAACTTATACTAGAAAATTGGAAAGAGACAGTTAAAATTACTAAAAACACAGTGAGGAAAAATAGTTTTATAAATTTAACACTCAGAGGATATACTGAAAACAGGAGGAAGAAGGAAACGGTGAACAAGTTTCTGTAAATGCATATCAGAATGAGAGTATTAGTAGACAAATATTGCTAAGAGTAAGAACCTCCAATAATTCGCTAAAAAAGAGAATACCATGATGAAAAAGCCTCCACACTTTATAAAAACAGAATACAATGTCTGCTATTTAAATGACAAAGAAACAGCTTCATACCTTTCCTGAAGATATAATCTGTATTGAACTCCTCCTATCACAGCCCGCCAATTCCATTTACCCAGCTGTTAACCGTAAATATATTTGCAGTTATCTCTAAAGAATTATATGCTGAATTTATTTTTTGACATACTGACTCTAATAGCAATTATTTATATATTTTAATAATAAAGAAAATCTTTGCTTTATCGTCTCATATCCCAATGTGCATTGCAAGACTCATTTACTTCCATTCTTTAAAGTTTACTTCGCTGTTCAATTCTCTCTTTTACTTTGTTCAAACTGAAACCAACCATTTTTCTTCTTTATATGTTTATCAATCGCGTTCACTCTTCTTTTACATATTTGTCTTTCTCGTTGCATTATTCTAGAATCCCATTCTCTCTATTCAATGTAATGCAGTCAACACACCTGAACACATTGAAAACAAAAATACAGATGAGTGACATAGTGTGTAGTGACTAAAGTTTTGAACAGCATCTCTTAATTCCGCGAATAATTTTGTTATGCGAACGAATAAAAAATCATAATAATTGACACGAGAAAAGACGCCTTCAAATCTCATGGTTACAATGAAAATAATCAGGTTAATTCATTGACTTTTAGTATATATATATATATATATATATATATATATATATATATATATATATATATATATATATATAAGGTTAGGAAAATTAAATGCTGTATGCAGTTATTCAATACTAAAACGTATTTATATACAATGAAACAAATAGTATTGAGTTTCTTCACAAGAGATAACGTGGGAATGAATAACATCTGCTCGGAATGAAGAATCAGCAATCAGTTTTTGGATTCTTTCTGAGAGTGATCCTATTCACTGAGAGGGTGAAGAATATACCATTTACTGTACTTTGCTCTCTCACTGGATATATTGACAAAATATTTCATTATTGATAGGTCACGTCAGCTGTATACAACCGCTTTCAAAGATCAATAGTTAAAAATGGCTTTGAGAATATGAAGCCTGAGGGTCTTGATAAAGACCATCCGTCTTTGAATATTTTGAACTGGCGCTACAGAATCACAATGAACTATACCAAATAACGAAAGCCACATCACTTGAGGACTACCAACAGCAGCAACTACTACAATAGATAGCACATATAACTTGAAGAGAACATAACATTCCACACTACTTCAAACAAAAGTTTAAAAAGGAGACCCACATCAATAGTAGAAATGGTGATAATACCTACAGAACTCGTGAAACCTGTTTTTCTGAAAAATTGCTTGAAAAGAAAGATTTTATAAATTTTAATCGACTGCATTACTGATTTCTCATTCAATGGATGCCAAATCTTTCCTTGTAATGAAAGGGATAATATTACCATTACATTACCTTGATGTTAAACGAAGAAAATAGAGTCAGTGGGTGTGGACTAGAACAAACTCCTCTCTGAGAAACCTATCTCAAGCATTACTGCAAAATCCTGTTGTTCTCATCAGTTTTAACAGAGACTAATATTCTACTGACCAATTTTTAAATATTATATATATTTAGATAGCAGTTTTAATTGATTACGAGGAACGGTTCAGTTAACTTCTTAGTGGGGAGTTTGTAAAGGAAATTCCCGCAGTTTTCATTGATTTTTTAAAAAAGATTGTAGTGAAAATGTTTTCAAGGGAAAGGGTGCTTTAAATGGTTCATGAAACAGATATTAGTAAATAATCTTGAATTCCAAAACAAAGTATCCGATTATAATCGTGTTAATTCATTATTCACTTTTTTATTTTATTCATTTCACTTTTCTTCTGTATGCCTGCGTACCCCCTATTTTCATCTCTTTTTGTACTTCTTTCTCTCTCATATATATATATATATATATATATATATATGAATATAAAAGTGAACATTGAATTCAACACTTAGAGGCAACAGGCTGTTTCATGCTAGAGGCCTGAATATGCTCTCTGACGTAGTTTTTAATATGCTTAGTAAATGTGTGTGCTTGTGAGTAGTCTATTTGTTTTTGGCAGTATATGTGTATATATTAGTTCTCCATGTATACTTTTGTGTGTGTGTGTGTGTTTTGTGTGTGTGTGCGTGTATGTGTGTGTGTGCGCGCGTGCGTTCATGAATGTGTGGGATTCAACTAGTGTAATTGGCCATTATGTGTTACGTGTTTATATGTGTGGGGTTATGATCCGTTTAGTGCTGGTTTAAATTTGTTTAAAAAGTTTTTTCTTGTATTTCTAGGTAAGAATAGTTGTCTGTTTGAGATATTCGCATAGTTTTAAATTTACCTTGATTAAATTTATAGATGCGTTGTGATACAAATTTTTCTATTGTGTGGTAATTTAATGTTTCTTTTGTGAAGCGAAATACCGTTGTTTAGTGCTTGGCTTTACTTGGTGCATTTTCTGTATTTGACTGCATAAATCATATTTTTGGAGTTGCATTTTAAATTTTGATTTATTATGAATGTTGTTATGGGATTTTAGGGGTTTTAGCTCTAGAGGAAGGTATGTACAGGTGGCGCGACGAATAAGTATTGCGTATAATCGCACATGTATTTGGCTTAACGATATGGAATAACAAACCCCGACCTGAAAGTATTATAAAATTCCTCAAAGCTGGATCATCTAACAAAATCAAATGACTGGTAGCTGAATGTAGACTTAGGGAAACAATTAAAATTCCCAGAACACACTATCGAAACATCGCTGAAACCTGATATTATCAATTTTTCAAATAAAGAAAAAATGTTAATTATATACAAATTAACCATCCCTTGGGAAGAGAATTTTTATCAGGTACATGAGAGGAAACTCGACAAATATCAGGAATTAAAAGAAAGATGGCAGAGTAAAGATTGGAAGACATTCTACCAAAACTTTAGAAGAGGGCTGTCGTGGGTTCGCGACACTGTCGATAAACAGCAATGTCAGACATGGGATTAAACGGAGCTTCAAAATGAAAGCCATAAAAGAAATTATTAAAACAACAGAACTTGTCGCCATGTAGTTCTGGTTTAAGAATAAAAGTAGATGAAAAGCGGAAGAAGAGGAAGGAGGAAAGAGATGCGAAAGGGGAAAAAAGGAAAAAGGAAGAAAAAGTCACGAAGTAGAAGTAAATAAAAAAAAGATCCGAATAAGACAATATTTGTGAGGTTTTTTTTGTTTTGTTTTATCCCCCCTCCCCACCGTGTCGGCTGATCCTCTGGGTTCGGGGAGGTGCCTAGTGTTGCTTTCGGCAGGAATGGCAGGAAGTGGCCTGGCGTCCTTTCTCCTATGGATTGAGTCGTTCGATTGAGTCTCCGGGTTGTGGAGGTTATCGCCACTAATACTTTATTTATTTATTTATTTTACAAAAGAAAATGGCGATCAAGCAAGAGCAGGAAGGTGGAAAAGAAGGAGGAAGAGGGGAGGGTGGAAAGGGAAAGAAATGAAAAAGAGGAGAAAAGGGAGAAGAATGATAAAGGAGGAGGAAGGGAAGGAAAAAGTAGGAGAAAAAGGTTAATATCATAGCAATGATGACAGACAAATTAAACTTGAGCTCCTCATTGGTTAAAATAAACATCTATTGGAAACAGTTACACGTAGAATGGGCCGAAATGAAGGCCCAGTCACTGTCCTTGTAGAAGTCATGTGTCACCTTCGGCAGACCAGAATTCGGCCCCTTTTTCGTTCGTTTTCCTTTGCGACAGGCTTGGACCTCTCGTGATGGACTGCCTTTACGCGAGCTGTAGACGGCCAGAGAGAAGCAGTTGCAACTATCGACATGTGTTGTCACCCATCCCAGATACAGTCTTGCAACCCAGGGTAAGCTAAGACTACTACTTAGAAACCCACTATCTCTGCTACAGACTCACCGTCCTACCACTTACGAGGGCGAATCTTGAAGCAAGATAAGTCCGCAAAAGCACTTTGTTTGCAAACACACATAACCTTTTTCCTTTCAGCATTTTTTCCTTGAAGTAAATTAATTAAACACAAACGGTTGTTGTGTTTCCTTTCTTCAAAAGCTGTCGTTCAAATTTGCCTCTACGCACTTAGCTTCAGTTCTGAACGATTCCGACTTGTTTTTTGGGGTTTTTTTTTTATCCTAAATAATTTTCTAGGACAGAACTCCCCACACATCAACAGGAAAATATCTTAATGTGCTGATAGGTAAAAATCCAGTTAATACCCCATAAAAAACACTCATGGTAGCCATATGCACAACACGATATATAACGTACCCCAGCTAGCCGGGATTGCAATAGTTCGCGGCTAGGCCGAATGGGAGAGGGAGTCTGTTGTTCAGAAGGCCCGAAACTTTCAACGGCCACATAAGACAACACTGAGGAGACATTCTGGGAAGTGCTTACCGCGTATTACTCAATCAAAATAAAGATTTTTCGTCACAAGTGCATTCATTTGTCTTCGTTCTGCTTTTAAACTGGCTGAATTGTTTTCTTTTCCATACTAAATTCTGTCTTTATATATATTTTTCATTGCTTTCTTTGTCCCGTCCAGTTATCTCTGCATTAAACACAAGCTTAGTTTTGCCCATCACAAGATACATTATAGTAGAAATACTATCCTAACCAACTGTGAAAGAGGAAAGATACTGCATGTTATCAAAAATATAAACATTCAAGTTATTTTTTAACGAGACTCATATACCGATCTCTGGCACCGGAGGGAAACACGTTACGAATATGTTGCAGGTACCCTTTCAATAATATTGTCTTACACGTTGTTATTCTATTGCGTCAGATTCTTTGCATCACCTTTTTTTTAATCATTATATTTTTTTTTACTTTTTATTTCTTGCACATTACATTCTGTATATACTTTTACGCTTTTGCTTCAATCCACAATCTTCTTTTTTATTTTCTGTTCATTTTAGTTATTTCCTGTTGATCGTTTTCATTAATTTCTTTGTGTTCGTGTTACACACTGCTAAACTGCTTCATGTAGTCTGTTTCATTATCTCTAACTTGCCATCATTCATTGCTTCAAAGCATTTTATCGACTAAGATTAATAAGCTATGTTTAGTCTAAGTTGTCTTAAATGGTTAAGAGCAATATTATAAAGCCCAACGTTTATTTAAAAATATACATTCGAAATCTTAGCTTTTATACGAACTAGAACGATGGCCAGTTACTAGAAAGCAAATAATTATTTAAATCATGAGGCACACCAAGTGATTCTGCAGACAGCGAAGACTTTCTGATTAAAGTGATGTTTTTGGTTGATGCTTGTGGGTTCATACTGAGTCCACTTTTCCGTCTTTAGTTTTGATAATTGTCCTGCTAGGGTGGAGCCGTATATAACTTTATAATAGATACTTAAGAAACGTGATTAAAGAAATTAATGCTGATGTTTGTAGTGTTAACAATAATTAGACTATTTTCAATTTCATCCGAATTATTATCGCTATGAGTATGAAGTAGTATTAATGGTAAAGAAATGAAAAGTGGGAAATATGTCAAGAATGATGATCTTGAAATCATTACAAATTAAAAAAAAGAATTTGTTCAATCCACTATTCTACATGGATGATATCTAACTCTTTTTGCAAAGACCACAATGGGTTGAAGGGTATCATCAATATTGTACAATGTTTCAGTGATGACATCGGTATGGATTTCGAAGTAGATAAATGTGCAAAAGTATGATTCAAGAAAGGGAAGAATTACAGAAATAAAGTCAATAGATCTAGATTTTGTCACAAATATTAGGGAATTGGAACAAGAAAATCCTATAAATACCTCGGAGTCAGCAAAAGAGATGTAATACAGCATACTCAAAGGAAAGAGAAAGTAAGGGAATGTATACTACAGGCGTGTGCGTCTGGTGTTAAATATCGACTTGAATTCACAAAACAATATCAGCCATAAATAATTCGTTGCCCTTATAGTGCAATACATTTTCTGTCTTACAAAACCATATCAATATATCTTCAAAGATCCATGGAAACTACATTTATTCAATAATAAAGGAAGCCAACACATTTAAAATGGAATTTCAAGTTGATATAGACAAATCTAGTACCCATAAATGGTTACGTAATGCAAGGTTAAAAGCTGAAACTAAAGGTTTTATTCTTGCTGCACAGGACCAATGCTTGCTAAGAAGTAATTACCAAGCACACATACTGAAAAATTGTATTGACCCAGATGCAGATACAGTGATAAATATCCAAATGACCATCTTGTATCAGGTTGTATAGTATTAGTACCAAATGAATATGAATCTCGTCATGATAGAGTGGGAAAATTTCTTAACTGGAAAATATGAAACTTTTACAGGAAGGAAACTGACGGAAACTGGTATGAACATCACTCGGATCCAGTTACAGAGATGGGATCTGTAATAATGTTGTGTGATGTTAAAATACAAACCGACATAATCAAAGCTAATCGCTCAGACATTGTGATCAAGAACCACAAAAACAGACCGTGCTTTCTTATTGACATAGCAGTCCCTGCAGATTACAATGTATCTATGAAGATCTTCAAAAGCTTTCAAAATACTATGATCTTGAAAAGAAAATGTCACAAAAGTGACACAGAAGACATCAGTAAAATATCCACGACACAAAATGTTTTCAACATTCATATCCAAATAGCTCTTATCGTAGGAAGTTTTCTTTAGAACTCTAATTCAATAATTTGAGATGAGTTTGACAAAAGGCGACAGTCTAGGGTATCTGAAGATAGTCGTACATGACTTAATAGCAATGCTTAATGAAACTACATTAGTAAACATTGATGAAATAGGTGAAGAAACTTTTAATAATAACCTTGGCTTAGTTTTTGTACAATGGCTTCTGTATGTATCACGCAGTGTTGATCGAATTCACGATAGTATTGGAATGATAACTCAAATCGTTATCCTATGCTCTGTGAATCAGATAGGCTTAGTGTCAGTGGCACAGCAGTAAGAAAAGTGAAATGTTGTAACATCATATTTTCTTTGTGTAGCTTAAAAACTTGAAATGACTAAAAATAGGAAGCGAAATGATGACGTTAATAACAGAGTGTGGACAAGTAAATCATTTTGCCATAATCAATGTATGTGTAGTAATAATTTTGCAAATAAGAATAAAGATAGAGGTTCTATTTTTTGTTATGAAATGACATAATTTTTTTTATAATATCTGTTACGGAATCTTTAACTATTTATATTTATATTTTTTTGCCTTCGTTATGTTTTCTTTATCCTATTCATAAGTAGGTCATGCGTAGTTTCAGTGCGATAAATGAAATCGGTGATAATATTTCAATCACTTCGCACTAATACATTTGGAAAGTCATGAATGCTGCTTACTCTCTCTACTAATTAAATAGTAACAATGACTGGTTTCTCCTGACAAACTAAAAGAAATACTTAATTCGAATCTCTGTAAATAATAGTGTATACTGGACTCATTAACATTACCATTGCGACAAATTGTAGAGAAAGACAGCAAAAAGAAAAATTTGAAGGGAGATTATGGAGATAAAAGAAAATAGATAACAATTGACCCTTTCTTTTTACATTAAGAACATGGAAGAAATAAGAGTGGCTTCTTAAAAGTGGCATGATATGTCCGAGTAGTAAAAGCTTAAACCTTTGAAACAAGTTAATGGAATGAACTTGTGGAAACAAGTGAATGGAATACATCGGAACATTCGAATCTTATGTAAGAAATACAATTTTGTGTCTATGAAAAAGAGAAGTAGAGTAGAAAACGATCCCCAGCCACAAGACTGTATAAATGATTATGAACTCAACAGAATTTCATTTTTTTAACTGATTTCACTATTGGAAAGAAAAGAATGGTAGGAGTCAGGTACTTACTTCCGCGAACATCATAGGAAGCCAACCATTTTTCCAGTTTCTTGAGTAAAGGATTATGTATACGAGTTCTACTGGAGGTCTAGAGTTAACTTGAAATCCAATAAACGTTCAAAACATGGAGCCTCATAATGATTACACCAATTCATTATAGACTCGATAAACTCTAGGTCTAAATAACCGGGGATGAAATTATATTTGCTTAGTTTTTGAATGCTTGAAAATAACAAAACATTTATTTAAGTTAGAGCGAGGTTAGAATAGAGATTGTCTTCAGGGCTCAGATTGTTTTCATTTTTGAAAGTTCATCCGTAAACAATGGTATTATTTGTAGTGATACTAGTCATCTGAGAGTGTTTCTTGGTAGACGGCTAGAGACAGAAAAGTAGTAAAATCAAGTAGTGCCTTGGGTAATGAATTTCATGAACCTCGGTACATTGACCATATTTGGGTTTATCTTTCTCCATTGCTAGCATGTTTGCACCTGATTTTCCTCAACTTTCTGTCTCGATCATAGCGTCATCTTGATAATAAAACTCCTGATTATCATTATTCGTATCATTGCTCTTGCTATTTTGCCTATAATTTTTAGTTCTCCCTTCTCATTTCTGTGGATAAAACTCGAATAATCTCACCATCTTATCATATCTTTCAATTATTATTTCAGGAGAACATTTATTCGGATCACAACCGTACTGGAAATATTTTTAATTGCATAAAAAACTGACACAGCGCCCTTAATAGATATA